TCCTCCTCCTCCTCCTCCTCCTCCTCCTCCTCGTCCTGCCCCCCCCAGAGTTTCTTTGTGTAGCTTTGCACCTTTCCTGGAACTGAACTCACTCTGTAGCCCAGGTGGGCCTCAAACTCACAGAGATCAACCTGCCTCTGCCTCCCGAGTGCTGGGATTAAAGGCGTGTGTCATCACTGCCCGGCTCAGTATTTGACTTTCTAAGTCTGGCTTATTTTGTTCAGCACATTGATCTTGAGTTCTAAGCATTTCCTGCAAATGTTTTGATTTAATGATTTTTGTACTGCTGAATAGAATTCCATTGTGTAAATGATCTACACTTCCTTTATCCATTCATATGTTGTTGGGCATCAAAGCTGGTTCTATTTCTTAGCTATTTAAATACAAACTCTTTTAAGACAGTGAAACAATGCTATATGATACTGTAGTGATAAATGCCACCTTTATACATTTGTCAAAACCCTTAGAACATAGAACACCGACAGTTACCTCAGATATAAACTGTGGGCTTTGGAAGAAATGACGAATCGTTGCAGGCTTGTCATTTGTAGTGATCTAGAACTCTAGCACAGAATATCTGTTGTCAGGGGGGTTGTGCATGCATGTGGCAGGGCTACTCTGTACTGTCTGCTCTGTTTAGCTTGAATCTAAAAATTCTCCATAGAAATGAAAACCTATTTCTTATACAGGGGCCAAAATGTGCTCTGAAATTTTGTGTTTAGTAATCAGGGGATAAGGAAGTAAAGAGAATTCTCAAGATTGCCAAGATAGTTGCAGATGTGTCTTAGCTACATCACACTCACTGTCAAAGTACTTAGAAAGACCTTACATGACTTTTAGTCTAAAAAACTAAATATGTGGTAATTGAGGAGTAATATGTTCTTTCCCTCTCTCTGCAGGTTCAGAATGTCCTTTATGATTTTTTTCAGAAGCCAGATTTGAATCTTGGTAAATATGTCTATTACTATATTATTTTTATTTTTAGGAGGGAGGTTGAGCTGGGCAGTGGTGGTGCACACCTTTAATCCCAGCACTCCGGACACCAGCCAGGTGGATCTCTGTGAGTTCCAGGCCAGCCTGCTCTACAGAGCAAGATCCAGGACAGATCCAAAACTACACAAAGAAACCCTATCTCGAAAAACCAAAAAAATACCTAAGTAACTGTTTTCCTTGTATTGGCATTTTGAAACAAAGGCAAAAAGAATTTACATATTCACATATGTATATACATATACATGGCTATTCATGTGTGTGTGCATGTATGTGTGGTATTCTCACGGCTGGGGTGTTACAAATGCAAACTAACACAGATGTGTTAGTTCAGATTAAAGTTGTAATGTCACTTTCTATATATGACACAATTTCTGAATGGTGAACAAATACTGATGAGTTCCAGACCACATTTTACATTCAACCTTCAATCAAAAACTTCACAGTAGTTATACTTACAGAAAAATTCAAAAGCAAAATGAGGGACCAGATACAAAGCAGAACATGTGCTGGGCAGATACAAAGGCCAGGGCTCAAAACTCTGCAGCAGCAAAACAATAGCAAAGCTCTACTGGGAATTTACATATCAAATAAGTTCTAAATTCAGTTATTATAAGCAGGCTTTTCGCCTTTTTCAGTGTCTGACGAGAGAGGGGAGCCTTTATTGCATAGAAATTGTGGGAATGCTGTCTTTACAGCCGCTCCCCACCACTAAAACAACAAAGCTCTCCTACAAATTTTCACTATGCACACCAGGAGCAGAGAAGAGCCCGTCCCTACGGGGACCATTGGCTTTGATGCATTTATTTTGAGAAGTTTTTCCTTATGTGAGACTAGGCCAAGAGAACTCTTACTTGTAACTAAGACCATGAGTCTGGATCCTGGGATTTATGTAATTTGTAACCCACTGATTATTTTGTTTTATTTTGTTTTTGTTTTTGTTTTTGTTTTTTTTTTTTTTTTTTTTTTTTTTTTTTTTTTTTGAGATAGGGCCTGCTGCTGGCCTGGAACTCTCTGTGTAGACGACAGACTGGCCTGGCACTCACAGAGATCCGCCTGTCTCTGCCTCCCAGTATAACACACTGGTTTTTATTTGTTGGTTTATTATCACTGTGTTTGGTGGTAACTATAAATTGTGAGAATATTTTAATTGTTTTCTTTGCTTTTTTTTCCTCTAGTTTTTTGAGACTGTCTTTCTACATAGCTAGCCCTGGCTGTCCTCGCTCTGTAGCCCAGGCTGCCCTCAAACTCACAGAGATCCTCCTGCCTCTGCCTCCTAAGTGCTGGGATTAAAGGCGTGCGCCACCATGCTCACCCTTTCCTTGCTTTTTATAATAAAGTATGTTTCTTAGCATCCTGTTTGCTCTTTCGAGAACATGACTTGGGCCTTCCTTCCTGACAACCTGACCTCTCCCTGCTCTCAGCCTAAACTAAAGACGGGAATTCTCCCCTCAGCTCAGCCTCCACTTCTGTTTCAGAAATTCTTTGCAATATCTTTGCTTATTCATTTATTTTGGGTGAAAGTGAGTAAGCAGTGAGGTCAGAGAATTCTGTTAGGATCCTGCTGAAAATTAGAGAAATTCCAAACCATCCCTCCCCGACCAGATGAGTGGTCCCCGTCTTTTCCTTTACTGCAGTGTTTATTTCCTGGGTCATTAGCTCAGGCACCACTTGCCGAGCCCCACTTGGCTCCAGACACTGTGAGGAGTAAAGAATACAAAGACAATCATGGTCTCTCTTCTTGAGTTAGTTATTCAATGTCAGCCGTTGGTGGTGGAGACCAGTCTAGTGTGCACCTTTTCTGGAGGTGGAAGGTCTCATTCAACCGTTATAACTGGTGTCTAGTTCTGCCAGCTACAAAGCTCAAGAGTGACTGGAGAGTCTTCTCTATGACCTTGTCCCAGTCCACAAAGGCAGAGATACTGTTAGAAGCAGGAGAGATCTAGTGTCATAGTCCTTCCTTCATAGAACTGTGCCTGTCTCTTGGTGAGGTCAATATGGACTCTGTAGTTATCATATCAAGTAGAAGCTTGTTTTATTTTGTTTTGATGGAGCTAAGGACCAAACCCCAGGGCCTTGTGCTTGCTGGACATGTGCTCTACCACTGAGCTAAGCCTCTGGCCCCTAAAGTGGAGGTGTAAATTTCCCTGTTACTGGTCACCTAAAGTGGAGGTGTAACGTCCCCCGTTACTAAAGTGGATGTGTAACGTCCCCTGTTACTGGTCATCCTTACTCAGAGGATTCTCTTCAATCACCTCTTAGCCTTTCTGTCTCTCATTTCTTCTGCACATTAAGTGTTGTTTGCAGAGTTTGCTTTTCTGGCTCTCTCATCACTGATACACTGTTCATCCACCCTGGATTTTCTTACTCTCACACACAACTCTAGCTGATGACTCCCAATTCCGAACTGTGCCCCTGAGCCCCTGATCACACATGAAAACCCTACAATGAGTGGTCAGAATGATGATAGTTGTTAGAGAAAAGCAAATGATCTGCGTGTCTGCGTGTACACACACATTCGGAAGTGCACGGGAAGGTTGCTGAAAAGAGGGTGACAAGCAGCAGTGGTGACTCCCTGGGGCCAGGGAGACTGAGGAAGCTGAGGGAAATACGGAAAAAGAAGATGTTCATATTCACACACAACTTACAAGGTTACCTCCCCTAACTAACTATTTTCTGAGATGGTGAATAACCTTTATGTTATTTACATCTCTTACAATAAAGACCACATTCACATGGTATTTGTTAATTCAAGCAACATTAAAGACAAAGAAATTTTAAGCTGGGTATAGTGGTACATGCCTTTAATCTCAGCACTCAGTGGGCACGGGCAGGTGGATCTCTGTGAGTTCCAGGCCAGCCTGATCTACAGAGCAAGTTCCAGGACAGCCAAGGACATGTAGAGAGACCCTGTCTCAAAATATAAAATAAAAAAAGAGACTAGATCTTTGAAAAGAAAGAAAAGAAACTCATTAAAGAGAATGTTCACAGAGAGCTTTTGGTTTAGGTCTGCCGGTATAAATGCTCTCATAAACTACACTGATTTTTTTTAGTCTTTTATGTTATTGTGCATATCTGTTTCTGCTTTATTCCAACCTAGTTATTAAAAAATTTAGATTCATTCTTTTTAATTTCAAGTTTCTTGGTTAAATAAAGCCAGGGAAAAAACCCTTGGTAGCAATTGGGATGTTACCCAACTATAAATTATTTACTGTAACTATGGATAGATACTAATTGAGAATAATTTTAGTACTATATTATAAATATAAAATATGAATTTATTACCCTAAACTAATTAGCAAATAACTTTTATTCTAAAATTAGAATCGCATTGCAAAGATCTGATTATGATCAAATCTATGGAACCTGGATTGAACCAACAGCAATTTATACAAGTAAGGAGCTGTGTTATTTAATATTGGTATCAAATTATTCTGCCAGTTTCAATTGTCTTTTGATAGATGTACATCACCTGAGGAGTAAATCAAAGGAAAGAATAAAAACTTATCATTTCTAAGATACATACTTCAAAATATTTAGCCCCTCTGAAGTTGGGTTATAGTTTTCAAATAGCTCCTTTATTTTCTTTCAATTCATGATATAAAAAATGAAGAACTTCTACTGATACCTTCTGATAAGATCAAGAAAAAACAGCATTTTATATTCAATGAAATCTGATTGTACAAATATAGTGAGATCTAAGACCAAAGGTCTACATGGTAGTTTTAAACCTGAGAAAGTATGATTCTACTGTAATGGGCTAGGCGAAAGACGCCATTTGGTTAGACCAGGGTTCTGTCTGCTACAGCCTGCTTTCAAGTCTCTTATTTCCTCTCTTCCTCCAGTTTTTCTGTAATGAGTCCAAGAGCGAATTCAGCTTTCATGTTTCTTCTCAGACATTCTTACTCCACTGAAGGCGACAGCCATGCACGAGATAGAGCTTCTGTGTGAAGGATTTCTGTGTGAAGGATTTCTTAAATCCTTTCTGAATGGTTCTTGTCTAGACCAGATACAAATGAAGCACACTACTCAAAAACACACAGAGCAAATGGCAGAGATATAATAGTTTGGAGTAGCCAAGTGAGATGACTCAGCATGTCAGGTAGAGGCAAGCCTGATGACCTGAGGTTGATCCCAGGAGCCCAAAGATAGCAGAAGAGATCCTCCTTCTGAGAATGAGTCTCTGCCCTCCACACACTTGCATGCCTGAGAGAAAAAATAAGTTCAGAAAAGGCAAGGCTTTTTCTCTTTAATGTAATTGCAGACATAACATATTTCCTTACAAAAATTAATTCTCAATACTACTGACCTAGTTGTCTTAGTAGTTTCACTACAAATAAGCAATTTAGAAAATGTTCTTGAACTTTGTGTGGTGGCTCACTCCTTTAATCCCAGCACTTTGGAGGCAAAGGCAGGTGAATCTCTGTGAGTTTGAGGCCAGCCTGATCTACAAAGTGAGTTCTAGTACAGCCAGAACTGTTACACAGAGAAACCCTGTCTTGAAAAACAAATAAGCAAACACAAACAAAACAAGAAAATGTCATTTTTTAATTATAAAAGTAATGTGAATTTTAATCATATGTAAATTATGTCTCAATAAGAAAGTGATATGGGCTCATTATAGAAAATTATAAACAAAAAAGTTTAAAGAAGAAGAATGTTAAGCCTGTAATTCTTTTTGTTGTTGTTTTGTTTTGTTTTGTTTTGAAGCCTGTAATTCTTTTACCAATTTATATCCACTGTTAACATTGTGATATTTTTCCTCAGATCATAATAATGACTCACATTTTTTACTCCTTTGGCTAAAGCAAACCTTTCTTGGTTTTATTATTGCTTTCATCTGTTCTTATTGGCATTTTTGAATGCTATTTATGAGGCAAAAATCCCAAAGCACTCACCACTGTGCAGATTCCTAGGCAGCCTGCCACCTTCTTTTCCACTCATAGTCGTTAAGCTTGTTTTCAGTCAGAGATCAAGGGTTTTTAGCCATATTTAAGTTAGAGAAATAGGGAAAAGTGATTCTACTCCATATTGGTCCCGAAAACATTTTAATGGCATTGTTATGTCTTGCTATGTATTTTTATCATTACTCAATCATATCTTTATTGTTGGACAGTTACTTTCTCATTACTCCTAATAAAAATAAGACCAGTATCTGTATATAAATCTTTATTTACAGTTTACAATTGTGAACTAGAAATGGAGTAGAGCTAGTTACTTTATAAAAAGCTCTCTCTCTCTCTCTGTCTCTCTCTCTCGGGGCTGGGGGCAGCTCATGTGTGTGGACATGGGCATGCACTTCATGGAAAGCCCATGTAAGGATATAACAAGAAGGCAGCCATCTGCAACCCAGGGGAAGAGATTTTATCAGACCGAGTCTTCTGAACCTTCCATTGGGACAGTCCAGCCTCTAGAACTGCAAGGAAAGAATTTCAGTTCTCAGAAATGCCTAGTCTAGTCTAATTGTCCTGGTAGCCTGACAGAACTCCAGTAATTTTTTTAGAATGGATTCCCGGGAGTGGAAATGGCTAGGTCAAAGAATGAACAGCTGAAAGCTTTGGCTACCTACTGCCAACTGTGCTGTGATTGCATTGATTCATTCTCCCACCAGCAATTTACAAGAGCTCTTCTTTATTCCCACCTACAGGAAACATTAACAAGACTAAAAAAGCTGCAATTTTTGTTTTCAGTGCTTGGGATTGTACCTAGGGCCCTGTATATACTAGGCAATCACTGTACCTCTGAGCTATGTCCCCTGCTCCTCACATATTTTTAAAAAAGTAGAAGGGACTGGAGAGATAGGTCAGCGGTTAAGAGCACTGGCTGCCCTTCCAAAGTACCCAGGTTCAATTTCCAGCACTCATATGTTAGCTCACAGCTGTCTGTAACTCCAATTCTAGTGGATCCAACACCTTCATACATACTTACATACAGGCAAAACACCAATGCACTAAAGACAAATACATTTAAAAAAATAGCAGTTAAATATTTCTATGTTAAAACACTTTATTATGTGACCAATCCATTTCTTTTCCAGTGTGAGCAAGCTACATCAGCAACAAGGACATGTTTTTTGTCTTTCAATTCACAAGATGCTTTGATTTCATTGCCTATTTAATTCACCAAGTGCAACTGTTTTCACTTGGTAGACTCCGTCATTGACAATAGCAGGTTCTTTTATTCCAATCTTAATTATTATTACTAATAGTAATTAAACAGTATTAGGATTATTTAAGAGTACTAAAGTGTAATGCATTCACAATGGAGAGAGAGGAGAGCTACAGGATGACTTCAAAAGGGTAGAGTCCACAGGGTTCAAAGAGGCCATACTGAAGGCAAAGATTTCTGGAAAGCTGATTCAGACTCACAGAAACATCTCTGGGAGTGGGGATGGGGGCAGGGGTGGGGACGGGGACGGGGAGGCAGGGGCGGGGTCAGATAAGCTTTATGAACTGCAGGTATGGAGCTGTTCATGGTGCAGAATTGTCAAATGCTGCTGGGGTGGGGGAGAGGAGGACAATTTTAGTGTCAGCTTGTCCTAGGCAGGAGAAACTTCACTGGAACAGAAGCCCACATTAGAGGTACATTGCTGTGGCCATTTTCCTGGATGGGAAAAAAATAATAACATTTATAGTACCAAGTGAGGTGATTGCATCACTCTTTGGCCTGGTGTGTTAAATTAGTTCATAGGTCTAGGTTTCTGATGTGGTTTTGATAGCTTCATGCATCCCGGTGTTCCTCATTTAATGTGAAGGTCACAGGTGGTTGGTTACACATTACTGTGTAAAGAGGTTGCTTAGCAGTCTGTGCCTCACGTTTGTGCTATGGTTGTTCACTTGCACAGACAAGAAGTGAGTCACTCCACCTCAGTGTTTGCACTGCAGACACAGGAAACTGCTGTTTTATAAAACAGGGTTGCTCAGGACAAGCCCCAGCTTGAAACAGAGTTCTGAACCACACAGAGTAACTTGGAGCAAGATATAGCCCAGTCTCCATATTGTCTTACCTGTTGATGTTTAGTTTAAGTTAGAATCATAAATCTCATTATGTATTGATGGCATTAGCATGTATGATCATCAATTATGAGTGCTTTTCAAATTTCCTCAATTTCTATTTTTATATTTTAACATTATTTTTGTTTGTTTTTGAGACAGGGTTTCTCTGAGTAGCCCTGGCTGTGCTGGAACTCACTCTGTAGACCACAATGGCCACCAACTCAGAGATCTGCCTGCCTCTGCCTCCTGAGTGCTGGGATTAAATGTGTGTACCAGCTCAAATTTCCTATTAAAAAATGTAAAGATATTCTCTAATTTAGAAACATTTTTGCTAATTCTTGTGCAAATAAATCAGCAGATCATTTAAAGATGCTTCCCATTGCCCCTATGCTTACACGGCTCTCTCAAGATAGCTCAGGCGTCACTGTCTCTCCTGGGTTTTTTTTTTAATTTTTTATTACTTTTATTTTTATTTTTGGTTTTTTGAGACAAGGTTTCTCTGTGTAGCTTTGTGCCTTTCCTGGAACTTGCTTTGTAGACCAGGCTGGCCTCGAACTCACAGAGATCTGCCTGCCTCTGCCTCCCAAGTGCTGGGATTAAAGGCGTGTGCCACCACCACCCGGCGGGTGTTTTTATTTTTAAGATGAACTGGGAAATTATTTTTAACAAATAACATAAAGTAAGAACCTAACTTGATTTTCCTTCTAGAATGGCTAGCCAGGTATACAACACAGAACAAACTTTTCTATTACAGGTAGCTAATTTTCTAAATGAGAAAAAACTTCTACATCATTGTTTGGCTCCAAAGGAAAAGAAAACATTTTGCAAAATTTGATATAAATGTTTAGTACCTACATAAATTCATGCTTTCCAGAAAGAGGAATGTTCTATGACATGAACCTCCCAAAGAATGTGGATATTTAAATGCATCACCTGGTCTCTCTTTGCTATCAGATAAATCAAAACCAGCAGGACAGAACAAAACAAAACAACAACAACAATAACAAATACTTAAAAAAACAACTCAGCTGCAAATAGCATGTGGCAATTTGGGGATAAAAATTTCTAGTCATTCTAGAATTACTAGAGAACCAAATGGGCAAGCGGTGTGGAAGCCATAAGAGAGTGTGTCTGTTACCTCACAGTCTGGTAGCGACAGTCTCGTCGACTTTTTAGTTCTTTGGAGATGAAGTTTGACCTTCTAAACTGAAGTGAAAAGCTGAATCTTGGAGTAACTTATTAATCTTTGTTCATTTGGGAGTACATTTATTCTAGGCCCCCTTTTTAGCATTGCCAAAGTGGCATCATTGGAATTTTTAAAATATTTATTATTTTATGTGTATGAATGTTTGCCTGCTTGTATGTGTTTGAGGCCAGAGGAGAGTGACAGATCTTCTGAC